TGCTCGGCTCTATTATCTATATTAGTGTTTGTTTTTTTAGGCATGCTGGGCAACTCTCCGCAAGAAATAATATTTTATTCTTAAAAATAACTTTAACTTAAGTTAAAGTGTGTTTAAGTGTGACTAAAATGTTACTATAAAAATTAATATAACATAAATATACTATGTGGCCAAAATTATGTGGACATCTAACCATCACACCCATATGAGCTTTCCAAAACCATCAGCATTAATATGGAGTTGGCCCCCTTTTATATGGCATTTTCTTGCCATCCACCAAACCCAGATTTGTCCTTCAGACTGCCAGGTAGTGAAGTGTGGTTCATCGCTCCAGAGAACACATTTCCACTGCTCCAGAGTCCAGTGGTGGCATGCTGGACACTACTCCAGTTGACACGTGGCATAGTCTATGGTGATCTTAGGCTTGTGTGCAGCTGCCTGCCCCTTTTCATGAAGCTCCCAGTGCACAGTTCTTGTGCTGATATTTCTTCCAGAGGCAGTTTGGAACTATAGTGAGTAACGCAATAGAGAAGAGGCGATTTTTACACATGATGTTGTTCAGCACTCAGTGGCACCGCTTATTGAGTTTGCATGGTCTGCCGCCTCATGGCTGAACGGTTGTTGCTCCTAGATGCTTCCATTTCACAATAATAGCACTTATAGTTGTCTGGGGCAGATCTGGCAGGGCAGGAGTTTCACAAACTGACTTGTGGCAGTTTAAAGTTGCTGAGCTCTACAACACGACCCATTCTACTGCCAGTGTTTGTCTATGGAGAGTGTATGGCTGTGTGTTTGGTTTATACATCTGTTAGCAATGGGCGTGGCTGAAACACCTGAACTCAATCATTAGGAGGGGTGTCCACATACTTTTGGCCATATATTGTACTTGATTTGTGCTTTTGTGACATGCTGATATTCAAATTTTAGGGGGGTTGAAAATGGAGACATGCTACTGTATATAAGGTTTTATATTGACCAGATCAGATTTTCAAAAGATACTTCGCAATCTTTTTTTAAATGAAATTTGTATTTTTCTGAGCAAACTTATCTGTATAGTATCTTCCAAGCTTAGTAGGATCAGGGCACATAGACAACCTTGTCGAACCTTGAAAAATGTGTATCATTACATCACTACTATTAATACTGTCAGTGAGAGGCACATAGTCTGCTCTCCCAAACAACCTTCCTGAAAAGGGTTAACAGCATTGTTAGCAGTGCTGAGGCCAAAGATGAAGATAACACGCTTTGTGAAAGTGGGTGAAACGTACTGCAAGCAGAGCACTGTGGAGCACACATACTGAACTCCATTGAGAAATATGAGATGTGGCAATAAAAATAAAAGAGCAGACCATGAAGTAGAAAATCTGCTGATTCGTTTGTGCTGAGCCTCTTCAGCGGAGGGGTGATTTTCAACCCGGCGCACAGCAGGTGTCGGACGGCCACTCTTTGTCCCACCGCAGACCAATAACTCAGCTCTTTTATGGCTATGGAAGTGTTTTAGTGGTCTGAGCATTGTGTGGCAGGAGAAAAGACACTGCTCCGGGCAACACTGGTCCTGGCAGTGCTCTGTGCATGTACAACTATATTTATGTGTGTGTGTGTGTGTGTGTGTAATTGTCTGATAGCTGGATTGCTTACATGTCTAGTTAATCATGAACTTGGTGTATACACTGTGACTAATCTGACCACAGGAAGACAAAAGGCACTTTACACTGTATAGTGCTGTTCATCAGTAACACGAGGGCTTTGATATCTAAACAGATAAAAAAAGGAAAAATGGAACTTTTTACTTTCTTAGTTGTGTGCCTGGTCATATTAAGCAAAAGTCATCACATCATACAATTTAACAGACAAAAGCTTTTTTTTTCTATTTGTAATAGAATTGTGGTGACTTTTATCAGCCTTGCAAATGTCTTTAGATTTTTTTATTTAATAATATTAACCAACAAGATTATGCTTCACATCCCCCTCCCACCACCACCAGCACCACCACTTATCAGTTTCACTCAGAAATATTTGCAATAAAGGTTAAAAATGGGTTAAAAAATGAAGAGTAGTGTACTGTCCATTCAGAGCCCTTCATTTGTTTAATTTCCACTTAGTAGAAGTTGTTCATTTCTCAGGAGATATTTCTTGAGGAGATCAAAGGGAAACAGAGAAAAAGAGAAGTCTCCAAAGCTGGAACTCAAAAAATGATTAAAAGATGTAGAGAAATGGGACTCTTAACAACCGTGCAAGACCTGGTAGACCACCAAGACTGCCCCCATCAGATAAAGAGCATTTCTGTCCATCCTTCCACTGTGAGAAGACAGTGCTATCAGTCTGAAAGGATGTGCAGCTGTCAATAAGAGGAAATAGACAAAAAAGAAGAAAAAACGCAAATCAAACAAAGAAGCCGCTGGCTTTCTCAGAAGAACGGACTGACCACCCCAGAGTCCAGACCTCAACAATCACTGAATGTGTTTGGGATTATTTTGGATCGTGAGAAGCAGAAACTGCAACCACCATCTAAGACTAAACTTTGGAGGCGTGGAAAAATATCCCTGCAGATATATTTGAAAAACCTGAAAGCAAACAAGAATGGAAGCTGTAATAAAGGCAAGGCATTTGCACACTGAATACTGGAAATATTTTATGCTTAGTTGTTGAGGCTTACGTGTAATTTTCTGTTAAATAAATATTGTTTGCTTTTTTCCTGATGCTGAAAAATGGATAACTTGAACTTAATGGTTTTAACTAAAAATTAAATAAATGAAGGGTGGACACTTTTGAACTTTACCTATATAGTGTACCACATTATGGGTATCCAGGGACTATATGCAACACATGAAAAGATGTATGAAGAAATTTCTTCAACATTCTTTATATTTAGTGTGGTATGAAGTCAAAAATATTTACAACCAAGAAGTATATTTGCTGCTCCAAGTGATTCTAGACTTGTATGCATGTGACAAATATAATGAAAAAGTCAGAGAAAAGGGAATGGACTGTGGTTCTCTTTCACTGCCACCACAGCTGGAAGTACTTTGGGTTTGCACACCACAAAGCAGCAACGTTTACCTGACCTCCTCCCCTCTAATTTATCACTGTGTTGACCAGAGTGCCGGGCCAGCTGACACTGTTTGCTGAAGTTCAGTGCCTGCGTGTTTGCTCTTAACTCCAGTCAAACTCTCCTCCTCCACAGGGTCTCAGTGCTGAGGCTTATCCCAGGTGGGCTTCTTTACCTGGGCCACCCAGTGAGAGGCTCCTCACCTGGGAACAGGAGTGCTTTGGAGCAGCGGCTGCTGTGCATCCTCCCATAGCGAAGTAATGCACAATTTAATAGGCCACTTTGATCACCCTAAACATCTCCAGATGTTGCTCTCTCGGTGTGTGGCACTTCCTCCCTCCCTTTTACTGTCATACATCCCCTTAGGGGTGTAATAAAATAAATGAAAGAACGCACCACAATTTCACTCAGACTCAGTGAACTATAGATAACATAGACAGATTATACCTCCATCTCTTACACTTTGAAAACGTATTAATTTATATTTTAGCTGTGTTTTATGATCATAAGTCTTGACATATGAAATAGAAGGTAAAGATCTTCAGTCCTCTTGGTTCATATTTGGGGAAATGAATGCATTTCAAGCAACATGAATGTGTCTGCCCAGTTCATTTTTTAAGTATTCCTTTTTTCATTTGAAGTGTTCAAAATAGCCCTATGATAGCCAGGCGACCTGTCCAGGGTGTTTCCTGCCTTCCGTCCATTGACTGCTGGGATAAGCTCCAGCTCCCCCCGTGACCCAGAAGGATAAGTGCCTTAGAAAATGTGTGTGTATGTGTGTGTGTGTGTGTGTGTGTGTGTGTGTGTGTGTGTGTGTGTGTGTGTGTTTGAAATAACAGATTAAGTTTATATATATATTGTGACGCTGCCACTGGATGTGAGGTTTGGGCCAACTGAGAGAGCAAAGAGGAGCATGCAGAGGGCGTCCAGAATGCTGGGTGCCTCTCCACTGCCATTGGTTAGTTTAAATTCAATGTTTTAATGTTGTTGGTTATTAGTTGTAATATGTGTTACAACTTGGCTGTGGTTTTTCACATCCTTTGTAGTTAAACTAGTGTGTTCAACGTCTTTGTGCTGTGTTTGGCTGTTTGTGACCTCTCCCCAATTTCCCCTGTGTCAGGTTGCGCCCCTCCTGTTTCAATAAAGAGCATTTCCTGAAGAGAAAGTGGTAAACTCTGGGTCTTCTCCTGCACTGATGCCACAATATTTTCCAGTAGATTTGTGTTAAATTAGACAATTATTGTTTGTTACAATAAATATGCATAATTTAGAGTGGATATAAATATCATTTATTATAAATTCTGTATGATGAAAAACTCAGAGACCACCCTTTCATTTACATAATTCCATCTCAAAAGACAGCAAAATGAATAAATGATGAATGCTGATAAGTACAAATACATTTTAATACATCCTGTAATACCTTCTGAAAAATGTTTAATTCTGAAGAAATTCAGCTGCTGGTGTTCTCAGAACAATGGACTGACCAGGTGAGTTCAGACCTCACCATCACAAAATGTGTTGGGATTATTTGGATTGTGAGAAGCAAAAAAATACAACCGGCTTTTAAGACGGAACTTTAGAGGTGTGGAAAAAAAATTCTGATTACTGCTACATTATATATACCCAGTGCACAATACTGTTATATATAGACATCACTTTTATTTTTTCACATGATATATTTCTTATATATAATCTTATATAAGCATTATATTCTTTTTATATTGCAACTTGTCTTTATTTATTTATTTTAATTGTATGTTTTATATGACTATTTGCTCTTATTGCTGAGCTGACCTGTTTTCTCGTCAAACACATTTCCTCGTCCAGCTGACCTTGTGTTCACCGCCATATGACCACTACTAAACTGAACTGAACTGATTTCGCTGGCTGAGTATTTTCAGGGCGCTGCGCCTTTAAGAGCCTCCAGCGCTGCCATGCCACTGAAACTTTTGGAGGCCGTACTGAGAGCCGAGCTGCACTTTGGATCACGAAGGAAGTGACGGATCTCGGTGAGCGTGCGAGAGGAATGAAAAAGTGAGGGAGCTAGAAAAACAGAAAGTAGCGCTGAATGTAACGCTGAAGCTCAGCATGTTGAGTGGAAGTGAGTGTTGTGTCTTAGTGCGAGCCTTCAGCAGCAGCTCACTCAGCTCTCTCCTCTAATCTCAGCAAGGTCTCTCTCTCTCTCTCTCTCTCTCTCTCTCTCTCTCTCTCTCTCTCTCTCTCTCTCTCTCTCTCTCACCAACTTAGCGGAGTTTCAGCACTGCGCTCTGTAGCCGTTTAGAGAATGACGGCTCCTTCACCTCAGTCTGCCCAGAGAACATGGACGGAGAAGTGAGGAAGACAGGGCGGTTCTGAGATATGCCAGCGAGGTGTTTGTGTCAGGACTTTGGTGGAATGAGCCGAACTGTACTAGCACCACTGTTTCCCCTCAGGACCTCCAGGAGGATTATGTGTCTTCTGTGTGAAGCCTTCTGCTGCTATTGAAGCTTCTGGAAGCCCGTTTCTGCCCGGTCTGGTATGTTGGTGTCACCTGGACCTCCTCTGCTGCTGCTCTGTGCCCTCCTCACCCTCCTCACCCTCACACGGTGCTCAGAGCTGAAGGTGCGAGTCCGCTTGGCTGATGGACACATCACAGAAGAGGTGCTGGAAGCGGACAGCGAGCAGGACTCCATCACTCTGGAGTTCAAGCAGGCTGATGGGACGCTCATAACCTTTGTGGCTGACTTTAAGCAGGTAAGGTGGGAAAGCTGACACAGGTGAGCTGTCCGGAGTGGCCAGTCTTGTCTTTCTTGGCTTGCTGGGCTCAAATCTACACATGGATAAATCATATGTGGTCAGTTTTACTGTCAGCATGGGGCTCAGACCTCAACCTTTACTGTAAATACAGACTTTTTGTGCTACACATGCATGAGAGAGCTGTGAATGGCTTTGTGGAAATAGTATTGGATTTCAGTAGCTGAGTGCAGAGCCAGGCTGTGATTTGAGCAGCCTACGTCCCACGGATTACTTCACATTCGGTCATATTTGGCAAAAAATATGGCCTCGTGGTCTCACTGTAAGTTTTATCCATGCAGTTGCTGACAGTATTTTAACTGCTGACAGCTGACTGAATCCTATCACATTTGAAATCAGTTGAATCTGCTCTTTCAGCTCTTTTACAAAGCTGTATTTCATACGTCTTTCGAAGGAGACGTCTAACCACATGAGAAATCAGCTGCAAATCTCTGTTTAATTGATCTTTTGAAGCAGTTCAGGTCCTGAAATCAGACTTTCCTTGCTGTCATGCCAGCCCGCATTGCTTCAAAGCCTATATTCAAAAACTGAGGGCAGATTCTTAATTGTATGTGATTAACAGCCCTCATTCAGGCGTTCCTAGAAACCTAACTCGTGCTGGAAGCCCTCCGTCAGCACATCTAGATTGTTATACTGACGCTGTCTAGGCCAGAGCTTTGATTGCACATGGCAGGGCTCTTGAACTCATGCTTTCCTCTTTTTTTATCAGTTCCACACAGAGGCCTGTCTCCATTCCTCGCACATGTGTTTCTCATCTACGTCGCGCAGTATCTCGAGGATTTATGGAAAGTTGAATTAACTGTGACTTCCAGCTGCCTTCCTGGATTTATTGTATGCTGCTCCAAGAGTGCTTTCACTTTGGTGCCAGCAGATAAGCTTTCATGCAGACAGATACTACTGCGTGGATCAGGTCACCAGCCTTAGCTGATGCTTTTGTGTGAACTTGCATGGAAATTTCCCTCGAATAGATCTCATGATATACGTCTTTTTAATTAGACACTAGCCGTCATTCAAGAATAGCTGAATTACAGTCCCTAGTCAGAGAGAATGAGCTCTTTCATTTTCTCACAGTACAGTATTTCAGCTGTACCAGCTAATGTGAACCTGGCACCATGTTAGAAATCAGTCGAATCCAGTGGTTTGATGCATCTAAGGTATAAAAGGATGATAAAGGTGGTATAGAGCAGTGTTATGGAGCAGTGGAAGAAGTTGGCAAGATTGTAATCTCTTCAGGACTTTGTCCTGTTGGATAGTCATTAACCAGAGAAAGAGCATTACAAGTTTGAGTTGGCATGATATGTTTTGTCAAGCACAATCCTACTTCTAGGGTCATCTTTGCAAGACTAGGAAACATTTCGTTGAAGACCCTTGAGCAGAGTGCGGGAATTCTATTTTGTCCTAGCAGGGGGCGCAGCTGGGGTCTGGTTTTGGCTTAGAACCAAGTTGGATTGGAGCAAATTCAATGAAGCTGAGTGCTATCTGTGTTTAAATGGGCATTCCGGCCTAAAACAAGGATTTAATGTTATCTATCTTGTTATGTAACATTCAGTACTGCATCACTCGGCCTCATCAGTTTGACAGAATTCACATTTTTTGCGTTTTCATCGATTAGTGTTCTCTCACTACAATGCCCAGCATGCCCTGCAGAGATACATCTTACAACCACTGGGAATCCCCCACACAGCAATAAAGACACGCTCTGATCTAGGTGTGATGTTCGGTATCATTAGCTATCTGGCTTCCTTCTATATTAGCCAGCTAGCGGGGAAAAAAAATCAGAACTTGTCCTCAAGTACATGCCCCAAATCACTTTTTTAAAAGTTCCTCCTACCTTCAAAGTGCATCATCATCTGTTTTCTCATCTGTTCATCTGGAAAGTCTTAGTCTCAGGACTATTGTGACGCCACTGTGGGATAAGAGTAGGCGTGTTTACAACAGATGTTGCCATGGTATCATTTTTTATTTTGGCCCTAGTGTCACTTTAATGACACCTTCACCTTCTGTTCCTGAAAACTAAAGGTTTGGAAGAAATCACAGGTTTTAGAACTGCACAGCATATTTAATACCTGCAGTATTAACCTCTGCAGTGTTGGCATCACATGAAAACAAATCACTTTTTACTGTATCCTGAGCCAAACTCATGAGTTTCATGTTAAATCTTCACCCGTTTTTTATTTATTCCAAGGCCCAGTATTTATAGTGTAATCACAATAAGATGTCTTGTTAATGTCCTGCAGAACACTATGTTGTTTTACCACAAGCTAAGAGCCTGTTATGATTTTGTTTGTTGATATATGTGTGTGTGTGTGTGTGTGGTGGTGGGGGGGTCATGCCAACTAACTGCCTGCGCCAACACTGCTCCTGGACGTGAGGTAATTGGGACCCATCAAAACAAAGGAGATGTGTATGGGAAACAGGGCAATGATCACACGCAATTACAAGAACGTACCATGCTGTAAAGGCGGGAGTGTGAAAGCTCGCACTAGCATTGTCTTAAATCACTCTTTTATCTCTTGTTCTAGCTGTATAGTGTTTCTAGGCCCTCTTTCTCTCTGCCCTTCGGCTGTTTAATATCTAGGCTGCCTTCAAAGAACAGGCAGTTATGGGGAAAAAAGCACACACAGTAAGTGGTGATAAATGTGAATTGATTTATTTTGCCTCACACCCACTGCTGTCTAAGGAGGAGAGCGTAGTGGTTGGCCTTTTGTGCATCTCCCCATTGGGATATCCTTGACCCGCTTGGCAGAGTCCCATCCCTTCTTCTTTCACTGAAACCGCATACAGTATCTCCCAGTAACCTTGGCCATGGTGCTGGAAACTTGGACATTTTGTAGCTATGAATTTAACATTAGGATATTGTTTTATTTATTTCGTAACTACTCTGTGCTTTTTCTTTGCCTCAGTTTGGTTCTTTCCAATTCCCCAGTTCCCAAGACTTGTAAGCCTTTTCCTGTATGACATGACAGTACCGGGGGTTGCACATGCTTTCTCAAAGACGGGAGGCCTGTTGCATCATTATCTTGAGCCTCCAGCCTTAGTGCGAAGTTACAACATTCGTGAAAATAGGTGACAGAAGTGTTATTTGGAGTGATGCCATGGAAGAACTACTTTTGGTTCCCTAATAAAACTTTTAGTGGATGATTCTTTGAAGGAATGTTCCAGCATTTTTCAAACGTACTGTCAGTGCGCCCCATCTGTAGCTCATGATTGCTTACCACAGATAATAATTTCAGTGCTTTTCCCCTTGTTCAGAAAAATAACAGACAACCTGTTTACTCAAAACACACTTAAACAGGAACTGAGCCCATTCTATTATAAATGCATTTTGAGTCAAAGGGTTTTCTGTTCTTGTGCAAAGTACCAGAGGTCGACCGATATACGGCCTGCCTGATAATATCTACTAATATTGATGACCCACTGTATTATCGGTGTTGGTGAAAATAATGCAGATAATAACCAGCTTTTTTGGTCATGGGGTTTGAACATGCAGTCACCTGATAATAGTGTGAAACCTCAAATAGTTTTGCTACTGGAGACCCCAACAAGAGTCATTGACTGTAACTATAAAACAGCAACGCAGTCTGAACTGGTGAATTTTTGTGAACACATTGTGTACAAAATCATGGTTAAAATAACAAAACACAAAATGTATCTAGATCTAACTAGTAGCATGAGCTTGTTTGAGGCTTGTGCCTCTGTTTTACTGTGTCTGCTGCCATTGTTAAAGGAAATTCATTGTTTCCTTGAAATTCAGGTGCAGAAGAAAGAGAAGTGTAATTTTTCTATTCACATGGTTCGTAAACAGCGCATTTAGGCTCGTGTGGGAGTTTCATACTGAGAGTTCCTGCTGTTTATTTGAGTTCAAGAAGTGTGACCATTAAAAAAAACTCACAATTATTTGAGTAAAGCACTATTTAACTAGGTATGAAGGTATTAGGTATGAAACTAAAGTCTAAAATATATATAAATATATATAAATAATATCGGCTGATATAATTTGAGTCCTAAAAAACAGTATTGGTATCGGGCCCTAATAAGAATAGGGAAATGCATTAGGGAATACTCCTTTAAAGAACAAATCATTGAAAGTTTCCTGAGGTAACCAAAAGTGGTTCTTGCATTTGCTCTCAAACCTCTTTTTACAGGTTTACTTTTAAGATTGTGTGTGGTTGATTGGATCTGTGCATTACTCTACAAAGGAGTGGCTTGACTTAGAGGTGGGCAAAATGGGCAGAAATTGAATATCACGATACTACAATACCTGAAGTTTTCACGATACACGGTATCTCAATAAATATTTATTTATTTATTTATTCATTCATTTTTATCATTGACATATGATCAGTTGGAACAGACAAAACAACAAGTGGTGCTGCATTAGAAACAAATACTATCAAAGACCCTGAGCACAACCATTTTAATTCAAAATTTCACATCTTGCCTGGCACTAAATCCAGTTAAACAGGATTAATTATTCTCTCTTTGTATTGAAGTTGTATTGCAGTCGTTCAGTTTTTCTTAAATACCAACAATATCCAAGATATGCTCAGAAAAGCATATTGTGTTGTTTTGTGACATAATTTATCACAAGAACGATAAATATTGTCATATTGCCCAGCCTAGCTTGCTAGCTTGACTCATATCCTCCACTGCTAGTGCAACCAGTTGTGCCTGCCTCAGACTGTGATTGGTGCATGGCATGGCTTGGCTTCACTGTTGTCTCATTGTTGAACGTGCTTCATTGTTGAACATGTGTGAGCATATCTTCATGGGCTCAGTGCCATGGCCCCACTCTTGTTTGGGAACAGGAAACGTGGGCCATGGTGTAACCGTCACATTCATCAGAGTAAACCCCTACACAAACATGTTTACCGCCTGAGTGGTTAATGTTCCCTGTCTGGATTTGAGTTCTCCCAGCTTGCCTGCTGCGTCACTTGCAG